GTAGTTCACCTAGCTGCAGGCAGCAATTTAGCACCAAGCTTCTGTCCGTCAACGTAGCAAGAGTGGGGCACGAGAATCCGCGCAGGAAAACGACCCCCGCTCTCAGGGTTGGCCCGAGGGATGAATCTTCAGGGTACGAAGACCACAATAGGGTGGTGGACCCTCAGGGAAACTCCACCACAAGACCAGAGGTAGAAAACTTGGAGGTCACCAGGGAGCAACTCTCGGGTGCAACCCTCCAAAAGCAATAGGAGGTAAAAGGGCGCAGGCTCTCAGTGTTTACTGCACTAACGCCTGTAGCCTAATGAACAAGTGGGCCGAGCTCCGGGCTGAGGCTCACCAAACGCACTGCTTCACCATAACGGAGACCTGGCTCAAGTCTGATTTTTGTATCGCGGGCTTCTGTCCACCAGGATTTCAGGCTTACCGCGGCAATCGTCCAGGGGATAGATTGGGGGTGGTGGCGCTCTACTGCTCGTGGCAGACCACTTTCCTCAGACGGCCGTGGATACCCTGTGCATGGAGAACATTCAGGCTGCCGGGTGCGTAACCATGCTCTCAGGAGTAAGATTAGCAGTCCTGAGTTTCTATCGCGGCCCAAGCGCAGGCATCGACGAAAATGAGTTGCTGATAGATTTTCTCCGGCACACAACAAATCGGGCAAGTGGGGTTCTTGTCTTGGGGGATTTCAATGCTCCTGAGATCGAATGGGAAATGGAGTATGCGCCAGTGGGCAGCTTTGGGGATGAGCTACTAGAGATGATGCATGGATTGGCGCTCACCCAGCACGTCACCGATCCGTCCCGATGGCGACTGGGTAACTCTCTCAGTACCTTAGATCTTGTGTTTACCAAAAGCAGGAATGACATCAAGATCACTGCCATAGGTGCACCGCTAAACAGAAGTGACCACGCTAGTATCCGGTGCCAATGCGGCTGTGCTCTTCCGTTTTCTCAAGTCAAATTGAGACGACGTTATGGACGCATGAATACCGAATGTCTTCAGGCTGCAGCTCAAACCATGGTCTGATCAGAAGCACACTATGGAACTGTGGAGTCGCGGGATTTGATCAGGGATAGCCTGCTGACTCTCACCAATAGTTTCGCACCCCTGCATCCCGTTAGATCGAGAACCACCCCGCCTTGGTGGTCCAGTCGAATGAGAAAACTCTAATTAGAAAGCGGGCCGCGTGGCAACGACTGTGTGCCACATGTGGTTATCTTAGACACCTTCAGTACTTACGAGAACGAAATTCTTTCGACCGCATCCCCCTGGATGCCAAAAGAGCTTTCGAGCTTTCCTTGGCCAAGAAAGTAAAGCGCTACCCTAAGGCCTACTACGGGTTTGTATAGTCTAAGTCGACTACAAGGGAAGCAGTCGGCTGTATCAGGCAAAATGACAACACCCTCGCCAAAAAGAACTCCCAGAAGGCCTTTGCCTTGTGTGAGCACTGCCAGAGCGTACACGCGAAGGATGAGGGCATCCTGCAACCCATGCACCAGCCAGCAGGATCCCCACTGGTGGAGGAAATTATTCTCCTACCAGAGGAGGTGGTAAAGACCCCGGTGAGTTTAGATAGGGGAAAAGCGGCGGGACCGGACGAAATCCACCCGGTAATGTTGAGGCCTCTAGGAAGTATACTGGCAGCCCCGTTAGCTCTCCTCTTCAGTCTGTCCATGGCGACAGTCTTATTGCCACAGGGCTGGAAAGTAGCGAATGTGGCCCCCATCCACAAAGGAGGTGACAGGGAGCTAGCCACTAACCACAGGCCCGTTAGCTTACTCTCCGTGATCCTAAAGGTCATGGAAAGGTTAATCAGAAATAAGATGGCCAGCTACCTCACCCAATGCGGCCTGCTGGCGGAGGCTCAGCACGGGTTTCCTCAAGGCCGTTCGCGCCTCACAAGCCTGCTAGCCTTCCTGGATGCCGTGACTGAGCGGCTGGACAGAAAGGAGGGAGTCGAAGTCTGCTATCTAGACTTCAGTAAGGCTTTTGACTCTGTAAACCATCGGCTGTTGTTAGCCAATCTAGGATCGATAGGGATCCATCCTAGTTTAGTCTGGTGGACTGAGAGCTACCTGGCAGGGAGAACCTTTCGCGTACGGGTGGAGGGGATTAGTCGAAATGCGGGCACGCTTATAGCTGGGTCCCACAAGGCTCGGTGCTTGGACCATTGTTATTTCTGGTCTTCATCAATGATCTAGTCCCCCGTCTATCGAACCCGACTTTCATCTTTTCAGTCGACGTTAAACTACTTGGCTCGCATCAGGGTGTATACCTCCAGCTTGACCTAGAGGCAGTACAAGCATGGTCTGCAGAATGGGGTCTCCCTTTAAATGCAGGAAAGTGTAAGATCCTACGAGCCGGGAGTGCTCAGGGTTTTGGGCCACGCTACATGGGAGCTCGCGACTGGGATGCTATGGCGGTTGTGCCAGAGATCAGGGACTCACTCTGAACTCCGTGCAGAGGAGGTTCACGTGCATGTTCCCGCACCTTCTGGGAGCGACATATGCCGAATGCCTTCAGGGCTGAACCTGTTCTCACTCAATTGGAGAAGGCTGAGGGGAGACCTTCCGTATCTTGAGGGGTTTCTCTCAAGGAATCTCCTACCTAATTCAGCCGAGCGGTGTATCCAACAGAAGGGGACACAGCATGAAATTAGACAAGCCTCGGGCGCTCAAACGCCTGAGAGCCACGTTTTTTCGCACCGGGTAACTAATACATGGAACAAGCTGCCGCAGGAGGTAGTGGCGTCAAAAACCATTGCCTAGTTCAAGCTGAAGCTTGACGCTTCCTGGGCATCAGCGTTCCCCGATTGTATCTGACACCGGACCTAAGGTCGCCAATAGCTCGTCCGTCTCCGTGTACCCCACTTTTAACTCTTTATCTCTTACCCCACTTCAATTTCTCCAATTCCCTCAGCTCCATTTTTCATTCACTGTGCACCACATTTTACTGAAAGTTCTCAACATCCAGCAACACTACTTGTATATCATGTTTCATCTCCCAACACACCTCTTACTCTGGGTAGCTCGGGGCGGTTGGTTGCGAGCTGTTGCTTTGATTCTGACAAAAACTCAGACTTGTACTGTCACTCAGAGGAACCATCAGAAGTGCGTTTTCCTTTTTCAGAACCGCAATCACCCACGTCTACGTGAACGAAATAATACAATTGTCGCAGCGCCGTGGTGCTCCCAAGC